GCTGACTTCGGGCTTCACAGTGGGAAGGAACATCAAAGTAGCAGAAAGTCGAGTGGCGGGGAACAGAAGAGCGGTTCACAGATGTAAACATAAAGGTAGGGAAAAAGGTAAGATGAGTACTGTGGAAGGGGTCGAATATGGCAAGCAGTTGGGCCATGGTATTTTGAAGTCAGAAGTCAAATGCCGGTTAATAGGCTTTTTTGCCGTATGAGTATACGCACACCCCTGGCTGTTCGGCTGTTTGTGCCACTATGCCAAACCGATTAGGCCTGGGTGGCGGAATAGCCGGCGAAATCCCTGTCAATAAAAGGATGGGTTTCATTGACTTCGAATTTACACTCACCAACTTCTTTAAGCAGTTTTATTTGTTTTAGTAGAATTAAAATAAGGTTTGTAAAAGTTATTGTACTCACTTATCTTTAAAGTTTTCTTGAATAATTCCACAAATGGGTTAAAATTGCATGACCAACCAATCGGATCGATTTACTAACAAGCTCTGGCTTTTAGGTGCACTAATTCATTTATGAAATCATGGATAGAGTAATATAAATAGACTGTTTCTTATGATGAGGACGGCATCTCAATACCTCCAGAATACGTAGAAAATGTAAGGTATGGTATTTTTTTCTTTATGGGTTCTTATTCGATCTCAGTTGTATTCCTTATACGTGTTTAAGGTGCCATTGTGCGATTAAAATTGATATTTTAAGCTTTTCAATTAGTAATAATAATAACTGCCTTCTTGCTATTTGGATTGTGTATATATTGTTAAGTAAATGCTAATTGCAGCCTTAGTTGCATTTCATTATTCGGGTTGATTTTCTTCTTAAAGTTCGAGACCATCATATTATTTTCAACGTTTTTTGTTTCGAAGTTAATAAACATCGGCTTGTTTTTTGTAAAAAGAACTCGGAGCATTCGAGTGTAATTTTGCTATTCACCTTTTTTCTTATTTGATTTGCTTGACATTTTATTTATCCCTAGGCGAAAATCGAGGCTCTTCGTCAGAATCAACCTGGAAGCTATCAGAACATCGCGTGTATTCGAACCAATGCTATGAAGTACCTTCCGAACTTCTTTAAAAAGGTATAATCTCTCCTTTATGCACTTCTCAGTCAATCGCACTCCGTATTATATCAGCTAATCAATATTTCTTTTTCTAGGGCCAGTTGGAGAAAATGTTTTTCCTTTACCCAGATCCTCATTTCAAGCGTCACAAGCACAAGCGCCGTATAATTAGCCTCGCTCTTCTCACCATTTATGCGTATGTTCTTAGTCCTGGTGGTCGCATCTACACCATGACCGACGTGCCAGAATTGGCTGAATGGATGGAGACCAAAATGTCTGCTCATCCACTTTTCCGCAGGTGTCACCACTTGATTCTCCCTGAGGATTCGAAGTCGGGAGCTGTAGAGAAAGCGTCAGATGAAGATGATATTGTGGGGCTCTTAGCATGCGGGGTTACTGAAGAGGGTAAGAAAGCGGCGAGAGAGGGTCGGGGCTCAACTATTTCCGTATTTGAACGAATTTCTGATCCACCTATGGACGAATGATGTGTTGATAATAGTCCTTTGTAATTAACACTCTTATCTTATCATTCTTTTTGGAATGGATGGATAAAGAATGGCAATGAATCGCCTTCAGAAGGCTAATTGACTTCAAATCGGCTCGTTGAAACTGTCTCCTGGCAATTGTGTGAGGCTAATTTTCTATGTTAGAGTTGTTAGAATTCGATCCATTAATTGTTATGTCGCCAGTAGTGTAACGTCACGTGCTCCCCTATAGGAGCAGAGCTGTTCTCTCTGGGTTTTCAGACTACCGTTGGTGTGGTCCATCGGAGTGTTGGGAGAATACGCCAGCTCAAATGGATTGTTCTCTTCTTTTATGATTAATGAAAGATCCTCGTTTATATATGAACTTGATATATGTGATCAATTGGTTGCCTAGTTAGTCGTTAAGAGAGTTGAGAGTGGATTTTAGTCCCGCGTACAAGTTTAGAGTAATTATCCCAGGAAAGTCTAACATTTGTTGAAAGAAATTTGTCCACAAACTTTATTATATCAAATGGCAGGCGTTTTGATTGTTATCATTATCTTGCAGAGGGGAGGGAACATCAAAGTGTAAAAAATTCAAGAGGGAGGGGGATAGAAGAGTGTATCAAAGACGAAGATAGATAAGGTGGGAAAAAGGTGGGATGAGTACTGTGAAAGTAGTCGAATATGACATACAGTGGGGTGATGGTAGTTTGAAGTCAGAAGTCAACTGTTTGGGGGTCGTGGTAGTTTGAAGTCAGAAGTCAACTGCAGGTTAATAGACTTTTTTGCCGTATGAGTATACGTTGCCCATAGTGCACCACGTGGAGGTAAGTCTATCGCACACCCATCTCACTAGTTAATAGACTTTTTTGCCGTATGAGTATACGTTGCCCAGCGGTTTATAGACTTTTTGCCGTATGAGGTCTGTTGCCCAAATATGACATACAGTGGGGTCATGGTAGTTTGAAGTCAGAGGTCAACTGCCGGTTTATAGACTTTTTGCCGTGTTAGGGTTAGATCAACTGCCGGTTTATAGACTTTTTTGCCGTATGCGCATACACAATGACATACAGTGGGGTGATGGTAGTTTGAAGTGAGAAGTTGTGACATATAGTGGGGTGAGGGTAGTTTGAAGTCAGAAGTCCACTGCCGGTTTATAGACTTTTTGCCGTATGAGTATACTTTGTAACATACAGTGGGGTCATGGTAGTTTGAAGTCAGAAGTCAAGGCATACAGTGGGGTCATGGTAGTTTGAAGTCAGTGGTCAACTATACAGTGGGGTGATGGTAGTTTGAAGTGAGAAGTCAACTACCAGTCAATAGACTTTTTTCCGCATAAGTATACGTTGCCCAGGGTGCACCACATGGAGGTTGTAAGTACACGTTGCCCAGGGTGCACCACGTGGAGGTATGCCGTTTGAGTATACGTTGCCCATTGGTTTATAGACTTGTTTGCCGTATGAGTATACGTTGCCCGTCAATGGGGTGATGGTAGTTTGAAGTGAGAAGTCAACTGCCACAATGGGGTCATGGTAGTTTGAAGTTAGAAGTCAACTGCCTTTAATAGACTTTTTTGCCGTATGAATATACGTTGCCCAGGAAGTGATAAGTCAACTGCCGGTTAATAGACTTTTTTGCCGTATGAGTGGGTTGCCCAGGGTGCACCGCGTGGAGGTAAGTCTATCGCAACAACTGCCGGTTAATAGACTTTTTTGCCGTATGAGTATACGGTGCCCAGGGTGCACCACGTGGAGGTAAGTCTACCGCACAAGGGAACAGTGAAGCTTTCCTCGGGAACCTCGTATATTTTAATACAAATTAGCAGCCGAATATTTAAAGATCAATTGTGAATGAAATGGAGGCAGGAAATTACGAAATGCTTTATTTGCCTCAAGGGCACATATTTCATGACTAATATTTTCATTTTGACAATTCCGCTTCAAGGTGATTCTCTCTTATTGGTTTGTTATATCCCGCTATTGGCAAAGTGGAGTTGATGTTGGAACTAATTCAAGCTCTGAGATTATTTTATTTTGAAGTAAATGATTAACATTTTGCTTTCCCAAAAAATTACTTCATTAATGAATTGTTTGATCTACACAATTATTGAATAGTTTTAAATCGAATGTGACTGCGATGAATTTCTGAAGCACTACAAGACGTAAGTTTACATTTAACACTCCGCCAACTGTTTCCATTTCCTACAGTAATGCTTTGTGAAGTCACTGTGTGCAAATAATGCGTACACGTGGAATTGCAGCATGTTACCCTCAGGTATACACTTAGTTGTGCATATAAATTTTGGCAGTCAATTCAGTGGTATTAGTAGTTTCATCATTATTACTGAGCATGGAGTAATAGTTGGTGCTAAAAGGAGTTGAGCGATTGAGTGCTTGAATGAAAATATTCATCACTCAGTTCAAAATGTACACAATGAGAAGATTGAATAGCGATAAAAATGGACGCGATATGCAGCCTCTCCCACCTCTCATCCACTCGCCTTACGTATACCCAAGCAGAAGTACATGAATGTCTATCTAAATAGTGTTCAACATGCGAATGAAGGTGTTACCAAGATCCGATCATTCTAGCCTCATGCAATGTGCCTCTATGAAGTTGGTCCATGGAAATGATGCGTATACGTGGTATTGTGGCATGTTGCCCCCCC